ATTAAGCGAAAAATCTACTCGACTGTATATCAGAATTGATTCATACCGGAACTTGAAAACCAGGGAAGCTGGGGAGGCATGTCGCCCCAGCGGCCTTAGGCCCCGGACAGACTTCACGCGATTTGATCGTCGCGATTCAGTCGCCGAGATTTCCATTCATTTTCATTTCACATTCAAGAATTTTGGGCTGGAAAAGTATCACAACCGAATTGCAAGTTGGTCGGCTGGAATGATTGTAACAGTTCTCGTCGCGATTTACTCGCGACGATCAAAGCGCGTGAAGTCTGTCCGGCGCCTTAGGCCTCGGACAGAGTTCACGCGACTTGATCGTCGCGATTCAATCGCTACAAGGCAAGTGGAGTTCATTGCATGCCGATCTTCTTGTATTTCGGTTGTGATAGTCATTCACGATTAGTTGTGTTGGAAAACTATCACAACCGAAATGCAAGAAGATCGGCATGCAGTGATATTGTTACACTTGTCTTGTAGCGATTGAATTGCGACGATCAAATTGCGTGACTCTGTCCGAGGCCTTAAAGGCAGCGTCCCACCAGACTGGGGATATCTGGCTCTCGTAATGATGTGATAGTAGACCCCCTACCTAAGCGATGACTGAAGTTCGGAGCGAAAAAGGGGGTCTACTATTACATCATTACGAGAGCCAGGTACCCCCAGTCTGGTGGGACGCTGCCTTTAAACGTGAACGTGGCGATTTAGGCCTAACCCTAAATCGCCACGTTCACGCGACCTGGCAGTTTGTCAGATGTCTCCAACTTTATTGTGCGCGGTTCTCCAATACATGGACGCGTAGCTTCTGTGATCCGTTGCAAACCGATCAAGTCCTGCCTTAACAAAGCGCTCCGATAGCCCATTATGAAGAGTCGTTCCGGTACAAAATCGCGCAGCGACTAAATTCGCGTGAGGTATGCCTTAGGCTTTAGAACGCGCGTTGTTATTGGGTGACCTGGAGCTTTCAGATTGAGTTATAGTCGCTGCTCGGTAACACAAAATGAGTTTCTCTTCCCTTTTCCGGTCTATCAGCATGTGGTATTCTGGCTTGAAAAAACTGCTTAGTTTAGTGACATGAATGATAAGCCAATTTCTTTCGTGTTCTATAAGTTGCATTTTAGCTAGGATAATAGGGAACTGTTTCTTATCGGGCGAGCATGCCTTAAACTACATCGGGTCAGCCTACCGGCCATACTCATATAGTCATAATGACGATTTAAGTTCAATTGAAGTCGAACAAGATAAAAATCACACCTAAAAAGATTCAATCTAGAGATTTTCTAAAAAGAGCAGGTCATAAATAAAATTACCCTCAGTAGTTTTAGCATATTTTTACCGGATTTGAAAACATCAAGTTGATTGGGAAGTTGTGACAGCTTAATATTTTTTGCTTTCTAGATTGTTTTGGTCTTCTGCAATAGGCAGCAAATAAAACGTCACATATACAGGTGGCCTTTGCCTTTTCATTTGGCGAATCACTTGAGCGACAATGGTATGTTTTAAAAGCGCTGAATTTGAGCGTAAGATGAATCGTTTTTTGAAAAAGCTGCATTTATTCTGTAAGTGTTCCATTATTTTCCAATCACCCCCAATACACTATACTTATTGATCCCTCTTTGCATGTTGTATTATTGTGATATAGCAGCAAGAATTGCCATGTCAACACTCCCAAAAAGCGCAAAAATTTTTTTTTCAGTATGCATCAAATCAAACGTATTGTTGGAGGTGGAGGAAATAAAAATTTTCGAAACGTTTGATGCATGGCTTATGCATCAACCTAACAGAACAGACAGTGCAAGAAGAAAGTGATAAACTTAATGCTGAGCTTAATTACCTAAGACCAAATGTCAGTTTTTTGCAGAACATGGAGAAAACCAGATATAATGTTGACATTTTTTAGGGTACCCTGTCTATCCTCTGTTGGTATATCTGCGATAAAAGAGGAAGCAGAGAGTTTAATAAACTCCACATCTTTTGCAAAGAACGCCATCTGAAGATGAATCTCAACAAATGTCATAGAAGAATCTACATAACTGCCAGAATCAAGAATAGGAGAAAACTGACGACATACCGATACGTGCTGCTCGATCTTGTTTGGTACAGTCATGAACAGTGATGTGCATAGTCTTACAATTCAAGCAACTTTCAAAAATCTTTCAACCTATTTCTATCCTCTTTCCCTCTCCCGCCTTCCGCCACTACTGTCAAAAGTAGTGGAATGAGGAAGAATGTGACGAAACACCGATATTACTCATTTACAATTGTACGAATTTTTGAGCTTTGAATGACTTTTACTGCGATATCCAATATATACATTTCTAGAAATGTATATCAAATTCTTGACCACCGTATAACTAGCGCAAGAAAGATGCGCTTACTATCGACACATTCGTTCTTGGACACAACGCTCAATAGTAAACCCTCTCAGTAAATGTACATAGATCGCATAGATGCAGACTTTTTCTACCAGCTATATTCGTAGAGACTACTTGCTCGTTACTTCTAGAAAACTGCTTTTTTAAAGTCATTTTAGTTTTCTTTCAAGAGAAAACTATTGCTATTTGGGAGTTAGAAGTACTTTTGTTGTGAATTTCAAAAAGCGTGCAGCATTAGCTACCTCGATTAGTATAAGTGTGTTGAATGCTTCACGAGCCTGAAGACGCCCTAGCCAAAGCGGGTCTAGACTTCATTTCTTGCGCGGATATGCAATGCCTTGGACATAGTTCACGGGATTTCTTCCCCTCGCAATTCTCCCGGCGGGACAACTGTCACAAGTCCATTGCATGCCGATCCTCCTGCATTTCGGTTGTCGGGTCATAAAGCTATCGCAGCCGAAATTCTAGATGATCGGCATGTAACAGATTCGCTACATTTGTTTTGTTAGGAGAATAGCGAGGCGATGGGAACGCGCGGAGGTACGCGCTTTGTAGATTTCATCACTTCTACTTCGTACTGCCAACCCTTCCAAAGATGGTAATCAACGCCATGCGATCTATGAAATATAATCACAGCATCCTTGTCGCCGAATTCCGACTTATTGCCTGTTTAGATCAATTAGTTTCTTGTCATGTGGGACTGTGGATCGAATGCATGATTTAGTAAAGACTTCGACTACTTCTAGAAATTTCGTACACCGTTAAGGCGCCACAGCCTGCTCTAAACGAACTCTGGAGCACCGGTAAAAATAGAATTAACTTCAGGGCACTGATGGATATCAGCTCAAAGTGCGCCTAGGTGAACCTCATCTGAAGGTAACATTCACCTCAACGTAAATTAAACATCCACCCTTCAATACAGTCTCTGACTGCTTTGATTTGTTGAAACAATGACGTGAACATTTCAAGTATAAAAAAGAATAGGAAAAGGACCATTTGAAAGTTAGGCAGGCGCTATGCTCCCCAATAAATATGTATAGCCTACCTTAGTAAGAAGAAGCTCGCTCGATAACAGCGGAGGCAAGGTCAAAAATGCAAAGCTGGACAGCGAGTTTTCAAAAGATAGGACAGCACTTAAAACAAACGAGTTGAACGTAACATTACGAAAACTTATTCACAAGGAAGTCCTTTGATCACCTACAAAAAGTACTAAACTTTGGGAATTTGTTCTTGGAGCCAAAGTTTTAATTTGAATTGGACACAGTGATGCGCGTTCTCTGATATTTGTTTGCGGGATCCTTCTTCATTCCTTTTGCGGTGAATTGAGCGAAGTATTTGATCTAACAAAATGCTTGACCTCTTTGATTGACCTAGCTTCTTCTCCTCATGGCAATATTGAGGGAGGGATGTGTCAAGGAATGAATACCTTTTGTAAGTTCACCAATTCAGTGTTCTTTATTCAGATTCTCAACTCTATAAATAAAATATCAATCCGAATTAGCAGAACATTAATCCTACATACAAAAAAGTCACAAATGCACACCGCAGAACAACATCTAAATAGTTCAAAACTGTACATAGCTACACACGAGACTAGAAAGGAGATACCTGTAGCTGGTGGGATGCAAAGTCAGCAATCTTAGCTAAAGTCAGAAAGGAAATGAGAAGATTCTGTACATTAATAGGCTCAATATTCACAAGGAAGTGGAAAGTGGGATTGGAAGTTGAACAAATATTAATTCCAAATGCAATCAGTTTTTTCCTAGATCGTACGCAAAGCCAGTGACGTCCGCAATATTTTGCTTCCGGGGGTGGGAACAGTATTTTGAAAAAAAGGATGTGGAGTCATGCGCTCCAAAGTTGGCATGCTTCTCAAATTTTTAGTGAGCCTACACCATGAGATTTCTCAAAAAAGGACATGGCGATATTCATTTCATTTCTACGAAGCCAATTGATATTTTACAAAGTCTCAAAAATTTGATTTTTTACAAGTGAAAGAAGTCAATTGCTTAGTCTAATGAAAGCAATTGAAGATTTTGGAAACTCCCTCTCCCCCCTCAATCCCTACTGCTGAAAAGTTACAGCCTTCGAAATCTTTTCACGAAGAGGTGATAATAAATGCAACAAGAGAAATAAGGAAGCCCCCCTCTGGAGCGGAATTGCATCAAATAAGCTCCATTCTGTGCCCCCGTCACTTGCTTTATTTGGTTCGCAAAGTATGCAAACGAGGCCTACTATAATGTCAAAGATCCAAGTCCAACGTTGCGTCAAATTCAGAAGGCGAAAGAAACGGTTACGTAGAGGATGGAGAGCTGATAAAAGGAGAAATTTTACTGGAAGAGAAAAAATGCCAGATAATGCGAAAAAAAGTGTTCGTAGACTGAAGATTTTTCGCTTTGCGTTTCATTTGGATTTGAATTCCCATCGCACTGTTCAGAATGGCAAAATATGCAGATCATAGAAAATATACAATGACGCATGTATCAATTATGGTCCCTAGTCATATGATATGTTCGCTATAGTGATGTAGACCTAAAAGCAACGGAACTTTTAACTAGTTAATGTTCTGTGCACGTATGCCCCCAACTTCCAAACGGGTGAGCGGGCCTTAGGCAATCAAAAGAATGTCGCATCAGGATTGTCGTAACTAAACTGAGCCATTTTCCCGACCACCACCATCCCCATTGTGATCAAAATAACGGCTGCAATGAACAGCAGCAGAAGAAACCTGAAAACAACACATTAATGGGTAGGTTTTATGGGTAACATAATGGCAAACAATTCTCTAGATTGTTGAGGAAGACTCAGCTCAACTTTTTACTCTCGAATTAGATGGAGGGAATCTTATATGATTTCGTAGTAATTTTAGAATAATCTCAAGCTGAATGTACCTACGATAATGCTAAAAAGATAATCTTACCTATCAAGAACAGTTGCTAGAAATTCCCATTCTAAGGAGCACTGCCGCTTTCTTCGCATCGCATCTACCTCCCGCGAAAATGCTGCCGATGTACGTCGGAGCTGGGTATTTGTACCTAAAAATTCAAGAGTAGTTATTACACCGCATATGATGCGGTTCTTACTGCAGAGCAAACTGCAGACATTGCAAGTCTTGACAATGGCAAAAACTGTTTGCCAAGCCGTTGATGCGCTACAAGGTGATATCAATCTCCAACAAACCTTTGAAAAGCCTTCCGCTGACTATAGGTGGGTTGACATTCTCGAGCAGTTCTTTTCATAACTGGACGAGCTAGCTCGTGGTGTAACAATGCTCAGCTCATAGATTGATTGTGAAAAGTATAAATGGAAAGTCAAAGTTAAGATAGAAGGGCATCGTAAATCAAAAAATGGCATTACACAGTGTGGAAGATTCAACAAGAAAGGAGCTAGGCATAGTTAATTTGAATAAACTGCCTATAATTTCAATCATCTTTTTCATCTATTTTTTGATTTTTTTTTCACATTCTGGAGGCCAGCTGATATCTAAATATGCATAATATTTCGCAACGGGACTCGTCGACCTGCTTGGCTTGTCAACAAAATCGAAACTGCTCGTTTATCCACAAAATGAGACATGACCAGTAAGTAAATAGTGAAAGTCAATCAATAATTGTATAATACTGACTGGCTTTCCCGCTCCAACTTTGCTCATCCTTTGGGAGAATGTCCAAAGCCACACTTTGCCCCTCTTTCCCGTTTTTTTCGTTCGGTTCAGCCATGTCCTCCTGTAGCTTTCTGCTCTCGGTACTGCACTGAAAGCTCCCCCCCCCTTTACTCTCCTGCATGAGCTTACCTCAAAGCGATTATTTTGAGTAACTGCATCTTATTCAACTCAAATTGAAAATGAACTTTACTACTTTGTTCACATCAAAATCTGCAAACATTTTGACAACAATTCATAAGTATCCATTTTTATTGCGAAGTGCTAATCAAGACCTTATAATAATGGGCTAAGGTTTGTTTACGTGTTTTTGTGTGTGTGTGTGTGTCCGTCTGTTACGAAATTCGTAGAGCATGTTCCAGCCAGCGTTCTAAGCCCAAATTTTGCACAGCGCATGCTACCTCCATGAAAGTTCAAGATGCAAAAGCACGAGTAGATTCGTTGAGTGGATCCCGCAGAAACTGCGCGCTAAACGGGTCCACCTGCCCTCTGTCCCGCAAAATTGGGTCCGTATCACCACTTTTTGCAAAGTCGTGGATGTGTTTGGTAAGCAAAGGTGCAAGCGATGGACTTTAGCCCAAAAAATGGTCAAAAGTTTACTATATAACGAAAACGGCGCCAAAAAGAATTGATTGCGTAAATGGTCAATTTGCCAAGGTTCTAGCCAAGCATTTCAGAAGATTTTTGTACAGAGATGTAGCCCATGGTTACTATTGCCTTTATGATGACTACCAAGCCATGATAAATTCAAAAAACTATCCAAATTTGCGTTTGTCTTCCTGCGAAAAGTTTCACCTAAAGGAAATCACCGATCTCACGTGAAAAAACTTTCTAAATGAGTAGTTGTTTACAACTTATTCGTGGTAGTCAGCATAGCGCGGTGAGTTCCAATGAGAAGATTTTATGAGCCTGAGTAAGCACATAGATAGTATAGCCAGTGCGAGCCTCTGCGAAGCAGAGGTGACGCTCTGGTAATCAATAAATCGATAGAACGACTGAGCATTGAATGAGAATTGCCGCAAAAAGTAGCCTATTGGTTACAAAGATTTCTATTCGACACATACTTCGCGGAAACATATTTACGCAAAAATTTGAGTTTTATATATTTATAGATTTGTCTTAGCCTTTGTATCTACGCCCAAAATGGATAGAAGGAGTGATGGATTTTAGAGTGGGAGTGATAAGCCATTTTGCTTGGGCTACACCGATTGCTTCCATCGGTATACTGTATTTTTTCAGTTTTTGACTGAAGAATTTTTTACGCTCGCCCAATAGGGTGAAAGGAGTCATGAAATTCAAACTAAATTCGGCAGAGATGATGTACGGGATGGTGCATGTGTTAATAAGCCAATTCGCTTGGAACGTACTGATTGACCCTATCGATTCAATGAATTTTTGCAGTTTGCGTATCCGTTGCTTAGATTGATGAATCAAAATAGATGAAAAAGCTGTAATTATGCCTTCAGTTCTTCTTTCTGCGTAAATTATAAATCAAAGTACTTCATGCAAAATGGCAATTTCCACATTTCCGCACTATAGAGTAAAACGAAAGATTTACGAAGTAGCGAAGCTGCATAGTACCAGACGAATTTGCCGCACAGCGGCAGAGAGCGGCTAATAGCGGATCTTAAAGCAGTGGAGAATCTCTGAAAGATAGATAGATGCTAAAGAATGAACTTACAGTTGAACTGCTATGCTGGGTTTGCGCTGCGCAAATATTATGATGATTTAATCGTTATACTATTTACAGTACCCGCTCAGCGCCACGCCCACATGATAACCATGATACTGTAGGATGTAAAAAAGCAGCTTCGCTATCATTGAATTCTTGCGCATTCTCTACAGAGAATTATTCGTAGCTTGACTTGTCACGTTTAAAGCTGTTTTTGAGATCACTGTAAATATAGTTGTCTTCATTAGCTTGAGTGGAATATGAATACCGCCAAACGTCATTACTGCTGTTTATTCCCACAAAGCACTTCAACCTGGTAACTGGATTCGCACCTGCAAGAGCACTCATGGCACCATCCCACAATGTAGGCCTTTGTGACTGTATTCCGGACGGTGTCCTAGAAAGCTTAGATGCGGCTGGCGATGGCGGCACTGAGACGTCGATCATTTGGATTGAATTGAATCTATCCAAGCCTACTTTGGGTACCCGCAAGGTAGATTGCCTGGGAGAATACTTACAATCGATTCCCATGAACAAAATCCAAAAATCCCAGTTGCTGCTTACCGTTCAAGCAGTGGCGATTTTGGATATCGCTCCTTGTACAGAGATGCTGTCTTCTCCAAAGTGTTGGCCTTCTTTCTCCTCCAAACATTCAGTGGATCGTCATTCAGTTCAGACCATAGTTTCTCAAGTGCTGGCGGAACGCTGACGTACAGGAAAGAAGGTATTATAACGAAGAAATAGTAGCGCACATAGAGAGGCGGATTTCGCCCATACTGCCGTCGACCTGACAAAGACTGCCAGATTACAAGAATATAAGAGAACAAAAAAAACGAACTTTGAACGGATAAGACCACGCTGGTGAGGAAGGTTCCAATGGATACAATGATAATGATGGAGAGATAAAACCATGCTGAAAAAAGAATTGTAATGCAAAAAACTTTTTTCATCTCTCATAAGCGGTTTTGAGAGAAAAAGCAAATTGTTGAAGAAAAAGCAGAAATTAGGCATCTAAAATGATTTCTCGAGTTTCTCATATTCTCACCTATCAATGGGACGAACTCGCTTGTTGTAGGCATCTGATCGGATACCATCAACATTAAGATGGACATCGCCAGTAATGTAGTGATTCCTGAAGAGAAAATGAGGGATGACACAACAAACCTGACGTCACACCAATTTTGACTTATTTGAGATTTATGTCTAGTAACAAAATCTCTTTTTATCCCCTAATGCTTCATCTAGTTGAAGCTAACTTTCACATAAACTGCTCTGCTAGCCACGTACTAAAATTATAAAAAAAACTTTTTCCCTACTTTTTTTCTGAATGATCTAACGTGTGTAGTCGTACCTAAGTTAATTTTCTCCGTTCTATCGTCGTCAGTCGAAGCTGGTGTGAAGAATCCAGTGATAGAAACGATGGTAATTATAGATGTAGGGATGATCAGATTTACAATGTAGTACAAGGGCTTCCTTTGGATTACAAGTGATGCTTGGAGAATCACCCATGGTTCCGCACAGCAGGCGTATTTGTACTGCAAAAGCAACCATTACGAGAAATGCGAACATGATGTCGTATACTATTGTATTAAATTCTCTGGTCAGTAGTTATAACGTTATTCAAGTGAAAGAATTTTTTCATTTCGATCTTATCAAGGTACTTCTCTGTACAAGGTTTCCGTATGGCATTGATGTTATTTGAACCCCTTTTTCTCATACTTATAATTGAACGCCAACTCCTCAACTAATCTTAGCCTAAGTCAATTAGCGGGGCTGTTGCATTCCCCAATGGAACGCTGCCGATACGACAAACGACTTTTGGTCAAGCTAATAAGTAGAAGGCTCTCTTAGAAGACTTGTTCGCTGGATGACCAAATTAGTTCCTGGTTCTATTTCGGCCAGAAATAACTGCTGTTAAGCTAGATTGAGGTGTTTGAGTTCACAGTAATTTCCAAAAGTAGAACGTCTGACGCTATTACCTCATGTCGAAAGATTTTGAAAGACTTGACATCCCATTCCTCGTTAGGTATGAAGGAGGCAAGATTCACTTCTGGATCGGCATAGTAGTCTAAAGCTGACTTCGAATTGGTCCAACTTGATATAGTCAAGGTGCAGTTCTGTCGATCATATGGGAAGAATCTTAAATCAAATGCAGTTTATCTACCTTCAAGGAATGTTTTTACAAAACTTCGCAATCTTTCTTGCCAACTTTGACGCAAAGCGGTAAGGCTGCGATATTTTCAAGCACGGTGAAACAAAAAACACCTCCACTGAAAAATGCCTGGGAACTACTTCAGCATATTTTCAGTTCATCACTAATGCTCTCAAGCCGCCACAAATGTAGGCACATTCATATCTATATGAAATTACTTTCAACAATCCCTTTCCCTTAAACCGGCATTGTTCCAGTTATCCGCTTAAAAGGACTTTTCTTGTGTAGCGCGGATTTATGGCCCCAGAGTGAAACTGCGCTACGATGCGGCCCTTTGTTTCCACTCTCCATGTTTACAAGTGTTTCGGTTGTTCTATTGCAAACAATGAAGGAATGTCGGATGCCCAGTGTCCTAAGAAACTATTAGCACTACCCATTAACACGTAAAGCTTTGAACAGTAGTGAAACATTGTTGAGTTCCGAAGTTGGTAACTTTTTATTTAGAAGTCTTGTTTTTCTGCTGTTGGGGCACTTATCCTCTTCAACAACTACCGGAATATTAGATTTGTTGGCTTCACTGCCATGCACTACGACTTAAAAATTACAAAGTAGCTCACCTGATGTTTAGTCTGCATGTGATGGTGTATATAGCCGGGTAAAGGAAAGACATCTGTGAACCGTTTTCGCCCTTCCAGTGATTCGACTCCACCTGGATATTCATGTACCGTTCGGTTTCATCGCGGCTCATCTTCACGCTAAACAAATAATTGTAACTAGAATAATCCAAAGCTAATTTGAAAAAAATAAAAAAATTTTGCCATTGGTTTCAAAGTAGCATCACGAAGAATTTTAAAAAAATGGAACTACAAACAGATAAATTAGATATTTGTATTTGTGAATCAACCTGTTATACAGATAAGTGTCCGGAATCCATAAATATTTGTACGGAATAATCGTTGAGTTGATCATGCCATAATCACGTGGATCCCATGTTAAGTATTCGTCCTTCCATTTTTGGATCATCCATACATTCAACTTGATATTCTGCGAAGGTTCATCCTGGAAGAAAGCAAGGTTGTGGCGGGAAAGGAGCTTTCGCTGATGGTTTTGAATCAAGGTTGACATAATCAGTGAAGTAATTGCTTACCACTTCAATAATCTGATATAAAGAGATGCTGATATGGACCTTCAACGTCTTTGTATGGTCGATAATCGGTCGCACTCGAGTGTCATACCTGTAATGATAGATTTGAAAAGTACACTTTACTCAAAGAAAATTATGATCTAGATCTAGCAGATGACAATCATTTCTCCAATTTCCAAAACTGGCGATCAGCAACAAAAAGCTCAGCTTAACCTACATTTGACGAAATGTCATGAAGCAAAAAACGAAGAGTCATGTTTGTTTAAACTAGCTGGATCTTTCTGCTCATTCTTTTATTAGGTTAAGAACTAAGTTTTGCAACTCACTAGATAATCTTGCTCTATGTTTGATATAAAGTATTCACATTTTGCCAATGTATAGGTTATGACGTAAGCAACAAGCAGAGCTGCTGTTCTGTTAAATTCTGACGTCGCGGCGAGGATTACGGCAGGTGTATGGTATAAAGGGGAGAAGTACAAATCATTACGGATTCGGCTGAAGCTAGGCGTAGGGAAGTTATCTGACTTGCTGATCACGAATGATGTACTGAATTTGTGCAGATTTCTTGAAGGATTACTGTGGCTTTACGGTATTGGGTCTCACCCTAAACAATGGAGAAGACGTTAATTTAACAGACGAATATGATACCCGTGTTTAGCAGGCCGAATAACCTTACTATGTGACGTCTTCGCTCTTTTGACGTTCCCACTCCTTACTCATGAATACTTGTCCCACCAGCCTTGCGTACTTCAACTTCACGAGGGCGCTAGATCTTGATTTGTCTTTCAATTCTATCCTTTGCTACTGAGGCAAATGACTCAACCTCAAGCAGTAATCCACATAGAGTTTTGGATCAGTATGCATGATATGAGCCACGAACGGCTCCATTTTTGCTTATAACCCGTAAATCCTCGAAACTTACTATTTTTAGTAAAATGCTTGAAAATTTTTCATTTTGTTTTCAAAAATCAAACAGTTCATGCATGGTTGTAGCTAACTTGAGATCTACATATAGCCAACGTTTGAGTGCGCCACGTTCAAGAAGAGTAAAGTTATGAAAGCAATTACAAAACTAAGTTTCCAACCTAATATTTGACTTTTTGCACTAGAGAAGAATTCTTTGTGCTCATTTGAAGAAACGAAAAGTTGCAAGACAATTTTAAGAAGCTCAGCAACAAATCTGAAATATATGGGTACATCTATTGAAATCTGTCGGAAGTATGAATGATACAATGCTGAATAAATTTTATTTTAAAAACAAAAATTTTCAAGAATTTTTGAAAAAATTTCAAAAGTGCCTTTCGACTTCCGAAGCGATTGAATATAGGTCAAAACATCTTACCTATCCTTGGCAAGCAAATCGCGGGTGAGCCGTATCAATGGTATGTCTTCCATTAATAACGATCGGTTTGCGATCGCTCCACTTGAGCTAGGGTTGTAGTTGGTCCTACTGTTGTTGGTAAGAATTGAAGTCACTAAATCGTATTTTCTTCAGACACACTATTGTGATCTCCATAAAAAATGTCTAACCTGAATCAGCCTCTAAAGGAGTCGTAAGGGTGAGGATAAGAGCGATAGAAAAAGATGTGATCTGCATGAGCTCCTAAACCTATGTGAATGCAAATATCTTCTGTAATGGACAATCGACGGATACAAAGCAAAAAGTGAATCAGCACCTGCCTGATTAAAGTGACTTTTGAAAACGAATATTTATTGGCACTATGGCACGATCAGACAAGCTCAAAATAACCTATGCATGGGGAGGAGGGAAGTGAAGAGATTGTAGGGAATATTGGAGAAGCAGAGAACAATCGTTCACAGAGACCAAAGGAGTTTTTGCATATTTGAAGAGATTGCAGCAAACATGGAATACGGCATAAACGCAATAATTAACAAGTTTGAGATGTTCAGATACCAAGGTTACATTGAAAATTGCAGACCTAGATATGGTACAGATCACTCTGACTAAAGGTTAGTAGCGAATATCTCTGAATTATTTCAAAGTGTCCAAAAATAACGAGGCAACTCTATGTACATCATTACTAAAAGCTTATCAAGTAATCAGGGACAGGTCCTTGAACAAGTGAGATTTAATCGTCATGATACTTGATGCCAGCCGTGTACCAGTTCAGAAAACCGACAAAGTTGATTCCTACAGTAATGATCAAGAAACAAATTACAAAGATGACGAAGAAGCTGCGCTCAGTGACTGTAGCTAACCATTCAAATTCAGCCACAGCTAACTGACGATTGTGTTTGAGCGATGCTGCAAATTTACATTCTCGATTGTCATAACTTACACAACAAATAAAAGATTGAGTCACAAAGAGATTGATGGTGTAACGCTAGCACTGTTTAATAGTGGTAAACGGAGCAGCAAAATATGCTTGCTTACTTTGAAGTTTTGCTTGTGTATCGTGTAAATCCGTTTCACTTTCTTATTTTTCGGTGGAAATAATGCTCTTTTGCAATAAAAAAAAAAGAAATTGTCTTGAATTGCAAAAGTTTGGCTCGTTAGTTCTTCTCAAATGCAGTCGATTTCCGTCTGATGCTCTTTGTTCTCTCTCTCTTTCTCTCTTGAGCTGGCTTCATGATGATTCGTAAACCACAACGCATAGTTCGGGAGCTGTGTTGGAAATGTTCTGGCACTTACGCATCAAAGAAACCCAGCCTTATTGGAACGGAAAGCCCGCAATAGATCTTATCTTTGAATGTCGAGTAACATTTTGAAATTTATGTGCATACAGATTATATGTAATTAGATATGCTTTATCGTAAAGCAGAGCCAGTGATAGTGATGCTGGATTGTTCAAAGTTCTGTTAATATGTTAATTATCGAAAGTTAATACGAGGGTGGGATGTGGTCTTGATGCGCGCTGATGCCAGCTAACAAGAAAACTAATCAGTTTGAAAGGTTTACTAAGCAAACAATGATACACCAAAAAAAAGGACAGTAATTACTGCCGCGGTGGCGGCGCCAAGGCACTTCTGGCCGCTGGTAGACTCGCAGACTCGCAGAAGCTTGATCGAAAACTGGCTAAACTCTTTATCCGTCGGATATAGTGATATCCAACTTTGGCAGTAGGTGGATCCTTATTCACAGGAAGACTGTGATTTTGGTGTACAAAAAATCGAGACAATCTTGGCATAAATGTAATTCTCTTGTTAGCTGCTTGAGCGTAGTCCAAGATTGGTACAGAACTTTACAGCACAGAATACAGACATTCCGGCAAACTCGCTTTTGTCTGAAATGTCGAAGACACATAAATAAACTATCCGATCAAATATGTCGTCGACTACAGAAAAGAGCCCAACCCCCTAAGGTAAACAACAGCCTCAACCAAAAACAAGATTAAGCTAGTGCTCACCTTAGCAGATGATCAGATGATCTGCTAAGGTGAGCATTAGCTTAATCGTCTTGTTTTTGGTTGAGGCTGTTGTTTTTCTTAGGGGGTTGCCTTTTCTGTAGTCGACGGCGTGTTTGATCGGATAGTTACTTAGTGTCTTCAACTGTTCAGACTCCGAAAAAGGCGAGTTCGCCGGAACGTTAGTCTGTAATCTGTGCTATAAAATTCTGCACCAATCTTGGACTACGCTTAAGCAACTAACGAGAATTGAGACAGTGTTTCGTATTGCTGCTGGCGCGCTTTTAGGAGAGCAACATCCGTTATGTCTGATTAGTATAGGTACGTTATGTCGAGTCAATAGTCTAGGGGTATAAACCATTAACTGCGAAGAAACCATTTAGGCAAAGTACAAATCTGGACCCCGATTCATATTTACCTCAATGCTAGGTCGAAAAAAGAGAGTGGATTGCGTAGTCCAGTCTCGACCAATCCTAACTATTGCGCAAACTTGCGCGCTTGCAGCCATAGGAATTTGCTGCATATGCGCACTGTCGGAGAAAGAGAGGAGAAAGAGCTGACAAGAGGGCCGTGGGCATGACGCAAAACCCTAGCATGCGAACTCCCGCTATGCCAATTTTGACCTGATCAGGATTGGGAAAGACTGTTGCATGTGTATGATTTGGCATTTTGTAAGAACGATTCCTTTGCAATAAAACTGCTGATAACTCCTCTACAGTAGATTTTACTATGTTTGACTACAATTCAAAAAGACATGCATCGCGTTCAGCAGATAAGAAAGACAGATTTGGAATGGATGGCTACCTATAGAATGCTTTCCGTATGTCACTTCACCCTCTGTAGCATTTACTGTCTCGCATGCATCAATCTTCTCCTGTTCCCTATTAATAGCAAGTATTAGGTTGTCCGGAAATTAATGCCGGTTTTGAATTTCAACCGCAATAAGTCATACTTCTCATTTCTAAATAGGTTGCAAAGTACCGTTCGATAGAGCAAAGCATGCTCTACAAGAGGGCCTTCTTGTTTTTGCAACAGCTCTCACCCACCTCGAGTTTCGAGCCAAAAACTAAAAAGACTCACCAGTCCGAAAAATCGAAAAAAATCGTAACTCAGTTCATAAAAACCCTACAAAAATTCTTACTTGCTCAAATGAACACTACTCACATAAAACATTATATACGCCTTTGCCGCATTTTTTCCTCTGTTACAAATCAAGAAAACGGAAATTTTCGTGCATTCAAAGTGGTGCTGTGCCGTTCCCACATAGGTAGTTGTACACCACAAGCCCGTAGAGCTACAGACTTAAATTTTCAGCTCTCTACAAGCTTTAGTTCTCGAGAAATACCGAATATAGCTTTCCCTAGTTAGGTGGTCCAAGCTAAAATTCAAATTTCTCGAGAACTAAAGCTTGTAGAGAGCTGAAAATTCAAGTCTGTAGCTCTACGGGCTTGTAGTGTACAACTACCTATGTGGGAACCGCACAGCACCACTTTGGCAAATGCACGAAAATTTTCGTTTTCTTGATTTCTAACAGAGAAAAAAATGCGGCAAAGCCGTATATAGATGTTTTATGTGGGTAATGTTTATGTGAGCAAGTAAGAATTTTTGTAGGATTTTTATGAACTGAGTTACGATTTTTTCGATTTTTTGGGCTGCTGAGTCTTTTTAGTTTTTGGCTCGAAACTCGAGGTGGGTGAGAGCTGTTGCAAAAGCAAGAAGGCCATCTTGTAGAGCTTGCTTTGCTCTATCGAATGGTACTTTGCAACCTATTCAGAAATGAGAAGTGTATGACTTATTGCAGTTGAAATTCAAAACGGGCATTAATTTCCGGACAACCTAAAATGGTCACAAAATCCCGAATGTTCTTGCTACAAATTCTAAAGTAGAATTGGCGTGAAATCTCGCTTACTCAAATATGCACAGTAGTTCGCAGATTGGCAACAAAATCTCGCGCAGCATTCGTTTTTAGAATATGCCCACCTAGAGTTTTTTACAGGGCCGAAAGCATGGCTTTACTGTCACGAAGCCATTCAATGATTGAAAGAGTGATTTCAAAACTTTATGAACTAGTAGTCGATTTCATTGCAGATGTTAACTTGTGTCGTTAGAAAAATAAATACTTGGGATGGTAAATCTATATTCTCCCTCGTTTGAAGTAACGTTTTTTGAAAGCATATGGCGCCACATTCTTTCGAATTTTTTGAATAGATATGCCTAAGACAAACCAGCGCAGATCTAAAGTGCGTATAACGCGGTGTGGTGTGTGAGAGTCTATGAAGTCGCTTTAGGTATGTCCGGTAACCAAGCGATGAGCGATTTTCACCCGATGAGGGGCGCCCAGGCATTCTGATCGCAGCGATCCAAAATTCCAAAGGCCATTTAGGTGCAAAAAGGTCGCAATCGCAAATTTCCCATTTGAGGCTTGAGCGCCCTGTCACGCAGTAATGAAATCCCTTCTTGGATTAGTTGATAAAACGGAGTTATCGCGAGCGTGCACGGGCGTACCGCTATGTTAAGGTCTTGGCATCTGGCGGCGGATCTTCTAGTCAGCCCTCAAAAGGTACTTGGCTTAGAACTAGTGTGACTGAGCCATTGGTAGAGTGAGGCGGCCCCGCCCTTCAGTAGATTTGGTATAGTAGTTTAGTTATGGTTCTACGTTACTAGGATAAATGTGTATAATCTGATCGGTTCTTCAACCTTCCTTGATAGAGCTTAAAGCTTACATAATGTAGCAAGAGGAGCAGTCCACGGCAGAGGCCACTAAGACGTCGAAAACCTTAACGTTTTCGCGAATCCTGTATAGAAAACAAAGGATCTAAGGTATGGGTAACATCGGTCACTAGCGGAAAGGTGCTCCGAGCAATCACAGAAGAAGTTTGTAGACAGCGTCCAGGCACCTGTCTTCATTTCTGTACTTAACGGAAGACCAGAGGACTTGCTCGACTTGCAGGGTATTGCACGGGGACCCAGCACGTTGGCGGTGGGTCAGTAAGCAATAGCATGCCCGATGCAAGCCCTCCGTCACGTACGGTAGCGGAGTCTGGTTTGGGCAGATACCTCAGCCGTGAGTGCACCATCTGCGCAGCTATTGTCGGCACCTTCTCAACAACCGCAACTTCAATCTCATCGAAGTACCGTACGGGTCGTGACATAAGCATGATCTGCTGTGATAGTCTGTTATGTTACTCTCCACGCCTATTATCGTTAGCATTCTACCACTGCACTGATACGC